TTCCTCCATCACCCCCACCACCATCCTTACCATCATCTTCACCATCACCCCCCACCATTATCCTCACCATCCTTCCTCCATCACCCCCACCACCACCCTCACCATCACCCCACCATCATCCTCACCATCATCCTCACCATCATCTGCACAGTCACCTTCACCATCCTTCCTCCATCACCTCCACCACCACCCTCGCCATCCTTCCTCCATCACCCCCACCATCAGCCTCACCATCAGCCTCACCATCATCTTCATCACCTCCTCTACCATCATCCTCACCATCCTTCCTCCATCACCCTCACCATTACCCTCACCATCATCTTCACCACCTCCATCATCACCCTTGCCATCCTACCTCCATCACCCCCACCATCACCCTCACCATCACCTTCACCATCACTGTCACCATTATCTTCACCACTACTTCCATCACCCTAGCCATCCTTCCTCCATCACCTCCACCATCACCGTCGCCATCATCTTCACCACCACCTCCAACATCACCCTCACCATTTTTATCCGTCACCTCCACTATCACCCTTGCGATCCCTCCTTCATCACCTCTACCATCACCCTCCACCATCACTTGCCATGCTTCCCCATCACCTCCACCATCATCTCTACCATTACCTTCCATTATCTCCACCATCACCTCCACTATCATCTGTGCCATTACCCTCATTACCCTCACCATCATCCCCATCACCTCCACCATTACCTCCACAATCACTACCATCACCTCTCACTATCATCTCCCACCACTCCCACCATCACCTCCATGATCACCACCACCTCTGCCACCACTTTTGTCATCCCTTCATCACTTCCATCATTTCCCACTGTCACCTCCACAATGATCACCTCCACCATCACTGCTGCCACCTCTGCCACCACTTTTGCCATCCATCATTGCTCCCACCATTACCTCCACCATCATCTCCACCATCATCACCTCCACCATCACCTCCATGATCACTCCTGCCACTATCTCCACCATCATTTCCACAATTATCCCCTCCACCATGCCTTCACCACCACCTCCATCATCACTGTCGCCACCACTGCCACCACTTCTGCCATCCCTACACCATCACCTCCATCATCATTCCCGCCATTACCTCCACCATCATCTCCACAATCGTCACCTCCACCTTGACTGCATGAAGTTGCACTGAGATGACAACAGCAGAATTGGAATCAGAACCCCTGACTCCTTCTCTTCCAGCCCTTTTACATGAACACTGGAAACAGCTGTTGGTGCTGCTTACCAGTGGCTGGATTATGATTTACTATTGGATTAGATAGGAATTTGATGATGCCAAGTAAAAAACCGCCTGAGGGTCAAAGGAAATAAGGCACGTTATAAACTGTGTGGACTGCAGACAAGGCCAAACTCCAAGTATTTTACAAGAATAGAAGTACATCTCTGAACCACAGCTCTACTTGGTTGGTTTATGAACATGCAGGGCAATCATTCTGCAATATTGCTAAAAGCGTGGTGGTTAAATTTATGTGTCAACGTGGCTGGGTTATGTTACCCAGTCTAGATGTTGCTGTGAAGGTTTTTTTCAGATGTGGTTAACACTTAAGTCAGTCGACTTTGAGTAAAGCAGTTACCCTCCACAATGTGGGTCAGCCTCATCCAGTCAGTGGAAGGCCTCCTTAGGAAAAAGACTGTGCTCCCCTGAGGAGGAGGGAGTTCTGTGGCAGACGGCCTGTGCTGGGCAACTGCCCCATCCGTTCCTCCCTGGGGCTCCAGCCTGCCGGCTGCCCTGCAGTCACAGACTTCCCCGTCCCCACAGTCACGTGAGCCAATTTCTTACAAATAATCTCTCTCTCCACACCACACACACACACACACACACACACACATACACGCGCGCGCGTTCTTTTTCTTTGGAGAATCCTGTATAACATACCAAGACACTAGAAAATGTGAACATGCTAAAAATGTTTTTGGAAATAATGTTTTTAGATGAAAGGCTTAAAAGATGCCGAGAATAAGGCCAGGCGTGGTGGCTCACACCTGTAATCCCAGCACTTTGGGAGGCCGAGGTGGGTGGATCACTTGAGGTCAGGAGTTCGAGACCAGCCTGGCCAACATGGTGAAACCCAGTCTCTACTAAAAATACAAAAAAGTTAGCTGGGTATGGTTGCACACAGCTGTCGTCCCAGCTACTTGGGAGGTTGAGACAGGAAAATTACTTGAACCCAGGAGGCGGAAGCTGCAGTGAGCCGAGATTGTGCCACTGCACTCCAGCCTAGGTGAGACAGAGTGAGACTCCATTTCAAGAAAAAAAAAAAAAAAAGATGCTAAGAATAAAATACCTACACTACTTATATAAAACCTATCCACTGGCTTCCTCAGAAATAATATGGCTGTTTCAGAATCTGAATATTTAAAAGCAACGCTGGGACATGTACTCACTTTGGCTGCTTCAGATATGGAGTCCCAGTTTCCCCCAGAAAGGGCATACTTCCCACTGCCGATCCGCGCCAAAATCTCCTCAGGGGTATCGTCTGGCCCATTTGCAAAAGGGGTAAATCTGTATAATTAGACAATTTGTGGTAATGAGCTTCCATTTTACAACCTAAAATAAAGTTTTCAAGTTGCTATCACCCCTCGGCTGTTAAAAAGAACAGCGCTTTGCTTCCCCCTCCTCTGCTCTGCAGCCAGGATTCACGGGAAAGCGGAACTCGGAACTTACCTCTTAACACTATGCCCATTTTCCTTCCTTAGCCATTGGGTGGCTAGAGGTTGATGGGCAAGTGGGAGAGCCCTGTGAGACCTGTGCTGTATCCCCTCTGGACCCAGGTAAACTGGGACGGGGTGGCCTAGTGAGCTGCCTGGTGCCATGGTGACGGTGTAGCATCATGCTAGAAAGCCTGAGACGTGGAGTTTGAAAGACCCACGGTGGATGTGTTACCAACTCTGTGTTCTTTGACAAGTTAACTTTTTGAGTCTCCATTGCAAATGCAGAGCGTATGCATGAATACACATACATGCTTGGTGCAGCCCTGACCGTATTCCAACGTGTGGGAGGTATTCCTGGTGTCCCACCTTCACACACACCCACACACTCCTAGAAAAGGAAGGATACGTGTGCTGCCAGCGCTTCCTCTAGTGGGAAAGTTTGTGATCTAGTTTTCCATATAGGCAAAGTGAGTATTAGAAGTATCACAAAATAACCTGACTGTGGCATTGGTAAGAAACTGAGGTTTCTTCCTTTGCTACTGCAGTCCTCGGGGTGCAGCTTCAGGCACCTGATTTACTCTTCTTCTGCTGTGGACACTACCTATTGATGAAATACGTGAAAAGCAGGCCGAGCTCATTCATTCTCATGGGGGCATTCAGGCCATTTTGCTAGAGCAAACAGGATTGGATGGTCTAGGGTTCTTTTCTTTTCTTTTTGCCTCCAAGTATTTAATAAACGTAATAGGAACCAGCGGATCTTGTAGGATCCTAGACCTTCCTGCCTAGAAGCAGCCACGGTGTGTCCTCTTCTCACTCAGGGGAGAGGGAAGGGAGGCCAGTACAGGTTCAAGTGTTTAGCCCAGAGTCATGGCTAATGGCGAGTGGGGCTCAGAGGGAAGTTAGCTGTCTGGATGGCAGGCCCAGGCCACTTTTTGTAACACCACGTGTCTCACCACAATGAACCGGCCCATGCATGACTCACAACCACGAAAGCCAGGTACAGACACTGTTTGACCCTGAAGCTGCTATGGATGCTTCTGGTTTAAGAGGATGTCTGGAAGGCACATCTGTTGCTACCATTTAAGACAGTGGCAGGGTCAGCAGAGAGAATGGGGACTATGCTGGCAAAATGTTGGATGTTTTGTTCATGAGCTGAGTTTAAAGAAAATGTGTGGCTACATTTCTTGCTCTTGTCCAGTTGTCCTGAGGGGCTAAGGAAGTCTAAGAGTGTTTACTCAAGGTCTGGGAGTGTTTGCATACGCATTGGGTTTGCCCACATGTGCACACTAGGACGGGGCTGGCCCTGGTCCCCTAACAGACCAGTCACTGAGGCTGCTGCCCCGTGTCTCCTCCTGACACCTGTTTGAGGCGACTGCTTACCCTGCCAGCATGGTGTACAACAGGATTCCCAAACTCCAGATGTCACACGCCGCATCGTAGCCTTGACGCTTCAGGACCTAGGAGGGAACGACAGGACACCGGCATGCCCTTCACGAAGGACATTCAGGTTGACAGCACATTTCTCCAGCGGCATCCTATGCCAGCCAGCAAGCTGGGGACTAGGAGGAGGACAGTGCTGTGTCTTCGGTGTGACCACTGTTTCTTAATGCAAAGCCAACCCTAAGGTACTGCAGTGGGATTCCTCCCAGGACAGCCACATGGTGAACCAGTGCTCTTGCCAGACACATGACAGACAGGCTAAAAAGGAGGACCTTAATTTTTAAGGCAGAAGGATTTTTCTGTTATGGCGAAATACGTATAACATAAAATTGACCATCAAAGCCCTTTCTAGGTGCAGTTTAGTAGCATTAAGCTTATTCACATTATGGTGCCAACACCACCACCATCCATCCATAGAGCATTTTCACCTTCCCAAACTGAAACTGTCCCCATTAAACAACAATTCCCTGTCCCCCAGCTCCTAACACCTACCCTTCTACTTTCCATCTGTATGAATCTGACTCCTCTAGGGACCTCATATGAGTAGAATCATGCGATGTTTGTCTTTCTGTGACTGGCTAATATCACTTAGTAACACCCGCGTGGTTTCTACCTGTCAGCTGTTGTGAATAGTGCTGCTGTGAACATGGGCGGACACATGTCTGTCTGAGTTCCTGCCTTCAAGTCTTTCGGGTGTATACCCAGAAGTTCCATTCCGGGCTACATGATAATGTTTAATTTTTCTGAAGAACTGTTAAAGCAGCAAAACTTGTATGCATGCTAGGATTACATACTTCAGTAGAGGGCAATCCTCTGAGATAGTTACAGTTGAGTTACAACAAAGGAAGCCGCATCAGTGCTCATGGATTACTGCAGATGATTGGATTTAGCATTAAATATTGAGTCGGGAGAGCTCGGCTCAATTTCCATAGAGATGAGAGCGAGGAGCCTGTCCTTTCCTCTCTGTATTGCTGCCACCGTGTGCGAGCCTGCACCGTGGAGGGGGCCAGCCAGCACGTGCTGAATGAATGTGGTGCTCATGGTGCAAGCCTCACTTCCTGATCCATCAGCTGGGCAGCCTTCAGCAGTCACTTACACACACGGAGCTTGTGCTTTCTGAATCTGCGAAACATGGTTAATAGATTATACCCTGCCTACTTCGTATGGTGGATGAGAGTAAAAGTAAAAAAAAAAAGTTGGTAAAAGTGCTTTGTAAATGGCAAAGGAGTATCACAACCTAGGGCATTCTGTAATCAATAAAATCAATATTGTGGGAGACCAGAATATGCTACCCCAAAATATGCTGCATAGGCGTGAGGGGCGCTGAGCTGAAGATACCTAAGAAGAAGCAGATGCAGGAGCGCTCTGTGTCTTCCATTTGTCTAAAATCAGGACATGGATTAAGACAAAAGGTACCAACCCCCCACCAGAGAGGACAAAGGCTTTCCCTAGGGACAGCTTTGGACCCATGTGGTCCCATATGGAACCAGCCTCCATCGGCCAGCCCTGTACCTCCCCAAGCTGCAGTCCCTGAGACCCAAAGCCCTCTTCCTTTGTCTTGCCAGGTCTCTAAAAATTCTCTGTTCTTTGTTGAAGATGTCATGTAGGCTGGACTCAAAGCCACCTCTGTCAGAACGACTCATTCCCTGGGCATCTCCCATGCAAACATCAGAAGATGTGTTAGTAAACTTCTTTTTCTCTTGTTAATCTGTCTTTTGTCACAGGGGTCTGGTCCAGCTAAGAACTTATGAGGGATGAGGAAAATGTGATTTTCCTCCCCTGTAATATTATCAATATTACTGTCGATTAAGTAAGGCAAGAACAGAGACTTATAACCTGGTTACTTTTTTTTTTTTTAATTTTTATTTTTTGAGACGGAGTCCTGCTCTTTCAACCAGGCTGGAGTGCAGTGGCGTGATCTTGACTCACTGCAACCTCCGCCTCCTGGGTTCAAGCTATTCTCTGGCCTCAGCCTCCCGAGTAGCTAGGACTATGGGCACACACCACCACACCGGGCTAATTTTTGTATTTTTAGTAGAGACGGGGTTTCACCATGTTGGCTAGGCTGGTCTCCAACTCCTGACCTCAGGTGATCCACCTGCCTCAGCCTCCCAAAGTGTTGGGATTATAGGCATGAGCCACCACACCCAGCCAAACCTGGTTATTTTTAAAGGGGCCACAGGTTGCTCACGTGTCTGGATAACCCCTGCATAACCTAAAACACCCTCTCAGCCCAGCCCCTGGCTGCACGTCCATTCATGTCTCAGCATGCAGAAGCATCTTTACCATGCACCAATGGCCCTGGGTGACCTCTCAAATAGCTCCAAGACCCCCACGAGATGCCAGGCGCCTCAGGCCTGGCTGCTCGCTTGACTCCCCTCCCACCGGAGCAGCTCTGGTCCGGTTCCATCAAGAACCCGCGGGATCCACACAGACTCTGAAGTCTGCCTTCCTTCCCAGTTCCCTCCTCCCCCATCCCACCGGCAGCATCAGCCACCGCCCTTCCCTTCCTCTTTTTACCACCGGCTCAGATTCCGTGGCTTTTCTCAAAGGCAAGAAATTGGGCTTAGCTTTATAAATACATCCTTGACTTCAGAACCTAATGGAACTTGTTCCTGGGAAACGTGAAGAGAGAGAGAAGTTCACCGGGTGCCTTGACAGCTGCTGAGTGGGGCTGGGAGCAGACACAGACCCTGACCAACGTGAGCGTTCCGTGGTAAATCACCCTGGAGCCCTGCGGTTCTCAGTCTGACAGCTGCTGACTTGCTGCTGCCGGGGAACCAATCTGCAGTGAGAACTGGGGTGCAGAGGAAATCCGTAGACTTAGTTGCTCCCTGCGCTGTGACGGATCCATCTCCCATCCCAGGTGAATCGCAGCTCTGTCCTGGTTGTATAAGGAGACTACAGTATCATCTCTCTAACTTGGAATAAATATGGAGATTTCATCCAAATTGTCTACAGAAGACAATTTTACATAAAAATGTTACTGTTGAAAAGTTTTTTCAAGTGGGAAAATGAGAATAAGAACAACTGTGTTTAAGCAAGATTGGCCTCTGGCCCAGGAGACTGAAGGTTCTCATTTCTGTTTCCCAACACCACTGCTGACGCGGCTCAAGCCGCCTCTGCTGTCCCCGCTGTCCCCGCTGTCCAGTGGCTCTGCAGTGGGAGGGGCAGAGCGTCTCTGCGGATGGAGGGGCCTGGGTCTGCAGGCTGGGAATGCTCACCTCCGGGGCCACGAAGTTGGCCGTGTAGCAGGGCGTCATGAGCAGCCCGTTCCCCGCACGCAGCTGCTTGGCAAAGCCGAAGTCACAGACTCGGATGGATTCCGGGCTCCCCGACTCATCCCTGTACAGGATGTTACTCGGCTTCAGGTCTCGATGAACAACCTGCAAGACAGAAGGCACGGTGCCTACTTGGGGGCCGAGAACTGAGCAGGAGAGGGAGGGCAGGTGCATTAGGAGGGGAGGGTGCCTTTGGGAATTGTCTTCCCAGCCGGTCCTGTAAGGAGGCAGCAGGCCAGCAGTGTCAACAGCTGCTGTCTTCTCCAGAGGGCCCCTCACCTTCTCCTCTTCTGTGATGGTCACTCACATCTGAGCCCCTTGTGTCACCTGCTTTTACAGTGAATGAATATTTGAGTAAATAAGTGAGCACCTCTCCAAGATGAGGCTGCAGCTTACTGGAGCTGCCACATAAAAGGAAATGTGGTGAGCTCTGGTGATGGGAATGAAAAGCATTTTAAAGATGATATTCATTCAGTAATTATTCCCTGTGTGCCCACCCCCATGCAATGTCAGGTGTTGGAGCAGCGCCAGTGAGCGGCACAGATCAGGCACCTGCTGTCCTGGGCGCACCACCTCGTGGGGGAGATGGACCGGGGCCATGTGATCATGCAGTCACTCTGCAATCATGCTCTGAGGCCTCCCATGGAGGACTGCGCTGGCTGCAATGATGGTGGGGCCAGTGCACCTCAAAGCAAAGTGGCTATTTAGGGCAGAAAGCAATGTGTTCTGAGGGGACAGAGGGCCATTGTGAGGACATGTGGCGTGTCTTTGTACAGCTTGGATCCTGAACGCCTCAATTGTCCTAATAAAATCCAGTGGGAGGATGTAGAAGGGAATTAAAGGGACACACTCCAGCAGTCAGGCCTGGTTTGCAGAGGTCCTGACGGCAAGGAAATGAAAGATTGTGGTTTCACTTCCATTGCCTCCGCTCATTAAATATGAGCAGATCTGCAGAAAGCATCATCCGAAGGGCTTCCCCTGAGTTTGACTGTACTGGGAAAACCTGGAAGAGCTTAATGCTCAAGACCACCGGGTGACCACACAGAAAAGACCCAGTGTGTGGTCCTGGAAGAATATTCCCGTTTGGAGATGACTGCATTCTGAAGGCTCAGGACTACGCACACAGCTGGCTAAGACTGTATTTCCTGCTTCAGGAGAAACACTGGGAAGAGACGGCACACAGGGGAAACGTGTGACACGGTACAGCTGCCTCCCTCTGAGGCCAGGGCTGGGACGGAGAGTACTGCCTGGAACCAGAGGGTCGGGGTCCAACCACACTGGCCACCTACTCATGTGTGACCTTGGGCAAGATACTCAAACTCCTGTGCCCCTCGCCTGCACAGTGGGTGTGATCTAGGGTTAGGGAGTCAGTGAATGAAGAGCTTGAAGTGCAGCCTGGATCACGGTGAGGCCCACGTGAACCTCAGGCATCACCGCCATCCCTGCCTCAGTGTCCCTGCGCACTGGTTAATGAATTCAACGTTACCCATTGCAAGTAATGAAAATTGTCAATTTCTTTTGATTAAGGCCAAAGTTTTTTGGCTAAAGTTGGTACAAATGATTTTAGACTCTCAAAGGGTAGCAGAGTCAGCCACCCCAAAATATGCTGCTTTGCCATAAGGATTATTTTGAGCTGAAAACAACGGAAAAGAGGCAGATATAAGCAAAGCCCTCTGCCTTCCCCTTCTTTACCTAAAAGCAGGATATAAATGGGTAAAGGTGTCCCTCCTGCCCTCTCTGCCTGGAATGACGGAAGGGACACTCTAGACCCTTACAGCCTGGAGAAGCCACCAGAATGATCTCCATAACAAATGTTCCTAATTAGCCCTCATCTTCTATTAGTTTTCCATAGACCTAGCTTCCCACAGTTTGCTGCCCTAGAAATGCAGTCCTTTCTCTTTGTTTTCTTTAAAAATTATTATTCTTTTTAAAATTAAAAAAGTTTTAAAATTTGAGACAGAGTTTTGCTCTGTCACCCAGGCTGAAGTGCAGTGGCGTGATCTTGGCTCACTACAACCTCCGCCTCCCAGGTTCAGGCGATTCTCATGCCTCCTGAGTAGCTGGGATTACAGGTGTGCGCCATCACATCTGGCCAATTTTTGTATTTTTAGTAGAGATAGGGTTTTGCCATGTTGGCCAGGCTGGTCTCGAACTTCTGACCTCAGGTGATCTACCTGCCTCAGCCTCCCAAAGTGCTGGGATTACAGGTGTGAGCCACTGCACCCGGCAAATTTATTGTTCTTTTGTTAAAATGCTACATAAGCTCAAGTTCTAACAATTCCTTGGAGTTATTCATGGCTGAGTGCTCCCGTGTGTATGTGAGATGCACATGTTAATAAACTTCTGTTTTTCTCTTGTTAACCTGTCTTTGGCCAGTGTTGTTTATACGGCCTCCACCGACGAACTAAGATGGGCAGAGGGAAAAAAGAATTTTTCTTTTTTTTGAGATGGAGTCTCGTCCTGTTACCCAGGCTGGGGTGCAATGGTGCTATCTCAGCTCACTGCAACCTCCGTCTCCCGGGTTCAAATGATTCTCCTGCCTCAGCCTCCTGACTAGCTAGGATTACAGGTGTGTGCCATCTTGCCCAGCTAATTTTTTCTGTTGTTGTTATTATTTTTAGTAGAGACGGGGTTTCACCATGTTGGCCAGGCTGGTCTCGAACTCCTGACCTCATGATCCGCCCATCCTGGCCTCTCAAAGTGCTGGGATTACACGCGTGAGCCACCACGCCCAGCCGGGAAAAGAGAAATTTTCTTCCCTTGCACATCGCTGAGCCTCTAGACACAAGAGGGACAATGGTGGCATGGAAGGAATTCCAGGACAATCTGCGTTCTCAGCTCTTGAACCCATAAACCCTTGTGGTTTTGGTTCCCTCCCTGAAGCTCCCTCCTCCCTGATGGCTGCCCCAGGCACGGCTCCTACCCCCTGGGAATGGAGGTAGTCCATGGTCTTGGTGATGGTGCACAGGACGTCACTGGCCTCACGCTCTGAGAAGTATCTCTGCTGGAGGATGCGGTCCAGGAGCTCCCCGCCACGCATCAGCTCCATCACCAGGTACACGAACTTGCCATCGTCATAGACCTGTGGAGTGAAGGGGCGCACATGGGCCTCAGGGACGCGCACATCATCGCACGTCACCGTGGCTGGTTACTGTGAAAGAGCAACTACTCCAGAGGGGGCAGCAGAGGAAGTCACAGGGGAGAGGCTGGGACCGCAGGGTCCTATGGGAGTGCAAACAAGGCTTCTGCAGGGAAGAAGCGAATGGCCATTCCTGTCATACCAGATGTGCTCTTTTTAGGAAGAATATGGTTTTAATAATCCACTGCTAAGCAGGGACTGAGTAGGGACACACGAGATGGGTGTGTCCTTAGCTGAGATGAATGGCTTCATGACTCTGCCAGGAGATATTTATTATTATTATTATTTTGAGACGAAGTCTCACTCTGTCACCCAGGCTGAAGTGCAATGGTGCCATCTCAGCTCACTGCAACCTGCAGCTCCTGGGTTCAAGCGATTCCTCCTGACTCAGACTCCCAGGTAGCTGGAATTATAGGTGCACATCACCACGCCCGGCTAATTTTTGTATTTTTAGTAGAGACAGGGTTTTGCCATGTTGGCCAAGCTGGACTCAAACTCCTGACCTCAAGTGATCCACCTGCCTCAGCCTCCCAAAGGGCTGGGATTACAGGTGTAAGTCACGGTGCCCGGCCTGCCAGGAGATATTTAGACGTTAAGAAATGCAAATATTGGCAAAGCACCTTGCAAAGGCAGGGCCTCAAGGGCAGTGTTTTTCAAACTGTAACGTGCATCCAATCTTGGGGGATCTTGCTAAAACGCATGTTCCGGTCCTGCAGCCTGGGGTGGGGCCTGGCCCTCTGTATTTCTAACCAGCTTCCCATGATGTCTGTGCTGCTACCGCCCAGACAGCACTGAGTGGCCAGGCGCTGGGAGCGCAGAGAGGCTAGGCAGAGTCCAGGGCGAAGTCACGTATCACAGCCATGCTGTTGCTTCAGAGAAGCAATAGAAAACGATGGTTTCCTCCATACTGGCTTTTATCTCATGAATTCAATTAAAAAATATGCTCTGATTATTCTTTTGATTTTTTGATTTTTTGAAATAGAGTCTCTCTTAGTTGCCCAGGCTGGAGTGCAATGGTGTGATCTTGGTTCAGTGCAACCTTTACCTCCCAGGTTCAAGCAATTCTCCTGCCTCAGCCTCCCGAGTAGCTGGGATTACAGGTGCCCACCACCACACCCAGTTAATTTTGTATTTTTAGTGGAGATGGGGTTTCACCATGTTGACCAGGCTGGTCTTGAACTCCTGACCTCAAATGATCAGCCTGCCTATGCCTCCCAAATTGCTGGGATTACAGGTGTGAGCCACCGCACCCGGCCCGCTCTGGCTATTCTTATGCCAAGCTTGCTTGTTAATAAGACCCTTTGCATGCACCAATCACTATGCATGAGGGAAACTGAGGTAGGCCCAATACCCTGTGGCTCTAGGTTCACAATGCTGGAATCAGTTTGGAGTTGGAGCGTGAGGAGGAAAATTGTCTCCTCTCTCTGCTCCTGGATCCCAAACCCTGCAGCCCATGGGCCTCTATGAGAGACTCCACCTGTGGACTGTCA